GATGACAAGAAAGGAAACAGCTAGACACATGACATACCTACATTTAAAGAATTCTGAGTGGAGAAGAACAGATGGAGACAAAGGGACAGAGGGAGGGAGAGAGAAGAAGGAGGAGGGGGAGAAAGGAAGGACAGAAGGAAGGAAGGAAGAAAGAAAGAAAGAAAAGAAAGAAAGAAAGAAAGAAAAAGTAGAGTGCCCCACCCTGTCTGGTCCAACCCAGAGACTTATTCATGTCTCTAGCAAGGAAAGTTCAGGAAGCTGAATCTCCCTCACTGACACCATCCTGACCTGAGAGAACTAAACTCTCAGAGGAAGCTTTGGGGAGCAGGAGATGGGGGAGACCCTGAGTTCAAGTCTCCCACATGAATTGCAAATTTCCCAGGTCTGCACGGAAGTCCTCACTGGGCTCAGAGCTGCACATAGGAGAGTTAGAATTGGGGGAAAGCAGGAGCGCTGATGGGTAGGTTTGGGTGTGTGCGTGGGCGTGGGGTGTGGAAGCGGTGATTTGCAGAAGAAACATCAGCAGAGTAAACTAGGAACAGAGCTGGGATCCCCAATAAGGAAGTCACATCCCTAGTTGGGAGAATTTAGCCAGAATGGGGATTCTCCAGTCCAGCACCTAGTCAATTTCAAAGCTTGTCAGCATCAAAAGCACGCAGACCCTGGACCTAATGGGTCCAGAGCATTGAGCCCCGAGCCATTTCTACACAGCCAGGTTCTCGGAGAGCCCCTCCCCTCGTTTATGTATTGAGCACCTCCCTAACTTCTTAATTAGGCCTAAGATTCTTCCGATGCCCTTATGTCAACAGAACTCCCAATTTAGTGACACCTGGGACTGAAAAAAGCTCCCAGGCAAACCCGGGTGAAAGTTTAAGAGAGAATAAGCATGTAATAGCTCCCCCCCACACACACACTCACACACGCACACACCAGACCTCACACCTGCCAAAGAGAATATTTACAGCAAACTTGCCAACATAAACGACCCCGCCTACGCGCCATCCATCCCCCTCCTCTCCTCTTTTTTTGAAAACTTCAGATAAACACCATTCAGTCACAAAAGGGTCGGTGTGTCCCCTTTATAGTATGAGACAGGCTTTGCTACAGGTAAAAGTGGGAGGCTTCCCCACATTTCTCCAAAAACCTTGGGGCTTCTCTGCTGGTTGGGTGACCAGGACTTAGGACAATTGCTCTGCTTTTATTCCCCCACCCCCAAACTTTATTTTGAGTTCCTGTCCTTAATCGGTGCCTACATGCACACATACTGCTGGTTTTGCCTCAAAAAATACAGGCATTACAGATATAGAGAGGGTTTTTTTTTTTAATTACAGGCCTACAATTAAGTAAAAACTTTTTTTTTTCAAAAGATGGAGGGATGTTTATTTCAGAGACATCAGAAGTTCCATGAATCCTTTCCAACAACGATTTGAAGCCCTTTTCTCCTTTCTCCCACCCTTAAGTTACCCTACTCTTGGATGCTACCTTTCCCGAGTGCCTTTTGTTGAGCCTGAGGCCAAGAAAGAGACAATCCAGAAGTCTGGAAAAGACCGCGCACAGCCTAAAAGCCTGGGTTCCGGGCGCGCCGGCCTTGTGGGTTCTCCTGGAGGCCAGGCCTGGCACAAGTCTTCGTAACCCACTGGCCAATGTTTAACCCGAAAGCAGTGGCCATCAGGCCGCTTTTGTTTGTTCGTAAATTAATCACCCAGCGCACGGCCGGCGCCAGGGTGGGTTTATCGCCCACCAGGAGGGGGGCGCGGCGGGCACGCAGAGACAAAGAGTTCGCACCTTCCTGCTTTTGATCCCAGAATTACGGCGGCCTCCCAGTATAATACGAGCCTCCTGGGGCAGAGTGTGGGAGGTCAGTCATAATTGGCGGAAGTTTGCAGACCATTAGCAAGATGTCGACATTTTCGATTCAGAACCCCGCAAACTTTCCTCTCCCCCCTCCCCTGCGCGCGCAGGAGTGGGGATGAAGGGCAGAAGTGGCGAGCTGGGGATGACCCCGGGGTTAAGTTAGAGCTACGGACAAAAAGTAGGGAACTGAAGGAGGAGGCAGTATGAGGGTTAGAAATTGCTCTCGGTCCACTGTGGTATTTACAAGCAAAATCAGCAAGCTCCCTCTCCCATTTTCAAAGCCGACCGGAGGCCAGAATGTTGGGACCGGGTACAAAAGTCTCTCTGTCCGGCCTGTGTACCCTCGCAGCACAGCTTGGGTGAAGAGGGGGTCAATTGTATTGTGGTTGCAGAATTACTTGCCTTGCACTGTACGCGGCGGGGCAGAGGTTGGCCGGCGAGTGCAGATAAAACCACATCTCTGGGATTTAGGGCCGCTCGGGCTAGCGCAGCCAGCCGCCCCAGGCTCTGGCGGCGAGCACTGTGGGGGAGGGGCTGCTTCTTGTCTCCAGAGACTTGTGAAACCCTGAAGTGACCTCTGTGATCGGTGCTGAGGGAGGGAAGGCCTGGCCTCTTGCACCCTTCGGGGATCGGGCGCCGGGGACGTTGGAGTGTCGTTAGGAGCTAACACTTTGGGTACTGCCACCTCTTTCTCTTTCTGTCTTTTTAACCACGGGCTAAGAGAGACAAGAGAGGATAGGCAGAAAGGAAAAGAAGGGGGCGACATGGCGAGCCAGACCAAGTTCACTGAACGACTCTCTTCTCTCTGATGTCTTAAGGGAATTCTCAGTGCCGGCGCCAAACGCTCTTAGCCATGTGCGTCAAAAATGCGACGCTGCAAAAGCTTGTCGCCTCAAAAATTCCTCCTCTATCTCGGGGCGGTTGGCCCATGATGGCACTGCAGTTTCAATCTCCACTAGCTGTCACTTCGAACCCTCGGCTGGGAACTTGGGAAATATACAAGGCAAAAAATGTAGGAGAGGCCTGTGCCGGTCTACACAGACCCACATCCGAAGGCTGAAATTAAGCCTCTAGGCCCGGAAATCATCCTTTGCTAAGATCCTTTTCCATCAGAAGAAGGTCTCATCCCTGGAAGGGTCAGCGACCATTGTCGCTAAGATCCCCGCTCCCCCCCCCAATGTCAACAGGGACGGCCTAACTCATGAACCCCCAAAGCAATAACTGTGGGTTTGGGGGAGTCCTCTGAGCCCTGCAGGAGCTACAATAATAGTGTTAACAAATTCAGCCAACAGGTCAGATTGCCTCTCTTGCTTCTCCGCCCTCGCTGAAGCCCCCCCCCACCTGAGCTGGAACCAGTCCGTAGGCTTCAGAGTCGTGGGGGGGGGGTGGTGTTTCACGGTTTGTTTTACAAATTCAACCCCGACTTCTGGCGAGATAAGTCCCGGGATGGACAAGGAACTGAGGCACCGAGAGATAAGCGCGATGCCTGGGCAAGATACAAGGCTGGCGCACCTCCCCCAACCAGCTCGCCCTGCCCTGACCCGCAGCTCCGGGCAGAGCCGGCCCGGAGGTGAGGGCAGCGGCTTGGAGGGTCTAGAGCCTCCGTTCCCCCCCTCTACACACCCACACACATCCGGGTGGAATACGGGGAGCCCGCATCCAAATGCAAGAGAGCTAAAAGGATTGGTAAATGCACTTTGAAAAAACAAACAAAAACTGAGTTCATCTCGCAGGTTGGGCGCGCAGGCTGTGTACGTGTTTGCATGTTACATGTTATCGGCGTGTGGCTCCATCCCAGTGTGCTGGCTAGCGTTCGAGAACGGACGCACACGGGGAGGGGGCGTCTGGGTCTCCGCACGTGGCCGCGGATGGGCCACGGTGGAGACGGAGTCCCTACACTTGGGTGCCAAGAACTGGCCACCTCCATGCGCTCCTGTCTCGGCGATCCCTGATGTAGGGGAGATGGGTCCAGAGGCGCACGAGCTCGGGGACCCTTCCTTGGTGGTGGCCAGGCGGAGCTTGGCTCCACGTGGGGCTGGAGAGCGAGCTCCACAAGCCGGGAGTCTGGGCGCGCACCTCTCCGCGCGCCGCCGGCTTTTGTTGCACCGAGAGGCCGGAATGGCAGCTCTTGGGAGGCTCGCCGAGGAAGCCAGGAGAAAAAGAAGAGAAGCTGCAGCGGCGGCGGCGGCTGTCGGAGAGGCGAGCCGGACGCACGAGAGGCGAGCGCCCCTGCCCGGCGCCGGGGCGCGCTCTTTCTCCGCCTCGCTTGCGGGGCTGGCTGGCTGGCTCCCTCCCTCTCTCCCTCCCCCTTCCTCCTGGCCCTGCCTCCTCCCTGGATCCCGGGCTGGAAGGCTAAGGCATTTCAGACGTGGGTTGAGCTGAGAGAGCGAGCGAGCGAGCTCTGGGACTGGGGCGATCTCTCTCGATAAGCCACCTAGAGGCGACTCAGTGCGCGCGCTCCCCAGTGGCTCCCGCCCGCCCTCTGATCATGTTGACATATTCACAGGACAGGCAGTAGTACCGATGCGGCGCAGCGACGTTACAGTTTCCGACACCTTCTTTTTATAACTCAGCTCTATCCCCCAGCACTCGACCTGTGAAAACCACGCCTATGCAGCGACACAATTGGTCCAAAAGCGTCAAAGAGCCAATCAAGAGGCCTCCGGCTCCCCGCAGCCCACAGTGCAGCCCGACCTTCTAGAGCCGCGGAGCAGACGCCCGGGGAATTGTAGAAGCGGAGGAGGGTGGCGTGGAGCTCTCGCTCGCTTTCTCCCTCCCTCGCTCGCTCCCTCCCTCTCCTCGCCTACTCTGTCTCTCTCTCTCTCTCTTTCTCTCTCCTCTCTCCTTTACATTTTGCCCCTCCGGTTCCTCCCAGCCCTGCGCGCCTGGACGCAGTTTTAGGAAGCGAATTCGCTCACGTTTTTAGGACAAGGAAGAGAAGTCGCGGAGGACGAGAACAGGATTCGGATTGAAACCCAGACACTCTCCGGAGCTCGGAGCAGAGGAAGGAGGAGGAGGAGGAGGAGGAGGTGGGAGAACGGAAGCCAGTTTGCAGTTCAAGTTTTGATAGCGCTGGTGGAAGGGGCTTGAATCAGTATTTTTTTTTTTCTTTCTTTCTGGTTTTTTTTTTTTTTTAAGGAGAGACTTTTCCGCTCTCTCGCTCCCTGTGAAAGCCGAGTGTAGCGCAACTGCAGGCGCCTCCGGCGAGAAAGGGAGAGGAAGAGATAGAGGGCGGGGGAAGAAGGAGAAACAGAAAGGTAAAAAAGTCTTTTAGGAGAACCGATCGCATTTGCAACAAAGAACCTGGGGACTGGGAACGATTCCCGGGACGCAGGGCTGAAGCGTCTGATTCCAGCTAAGCGCCCAGGCTCGGGCGCGAGTGGAGACCCTGCCCGCTCCCGTCGCTTCTGAAACCGACTTCCAGGAGCGGCTTTTAAAAAGCCCAAGGCACAAGGACAGTCACCCCAGCGACTATGTCTCCAGATTTGTCGCCTCGTCCTCTTTAAAAGCGGCATTCCTCTCCCCCCAAGACACGTTTACCCCACTTCCTTTGAAGTGCTTTAGTTGAGATTTATTCTTTTTCTTGGTTTAAAAAAAAACTATGCGCTGTTGTTGAATAAAAATAAACAAACAAAAAGCAAAAGCAAGACAGCAGCTGCGGACTTGTCCCTGCCTGGAGTGGATGAGCCTCTCCATGAGAGATCCGGTCATTCCTGGGACAAGCATGGCCTACCATCCGTTCCTACCTCACCGGGCGCCGGACTTCGCCATGAGCGCGGTGCTGGGTCACCAGCCGCCCTTCTTCCCCGCGCTGACGCTGCCTCCCAACGGCGCCGCAGCGCTCTCGCTGCCCGGCGCCTTGGCCAAGCCGATCATGGATCAATTGGTGGGGGCGGCTGAGACTGGCATCCCTTTCTCGTCCCTGGGACCCCAAGCACATTTGAGGCCTCTGAAGAGTATGGAGCCCGAAGAAGAGGTGGAGGACGACCCCAAGGTGCACCTGGAAGCCAAAGAACTTTGGGATCAGTTTCACAAACGGGGCACGGAGATGGTCATTACCAAGTCAGGAAGGTAAGCCAGCGGTGGGAGCCCCCTCCCCCAAGCGATCTGAGGGTTTCGTTTTGTTTTTGTGAATCGTTATCTCGCTCCTCCCTGTTCAATCGCTTTACTAGTTGTTACGGCTTGGACGAAAACTTAGTTCCCTTTAAAAATGTGTATAGCGAGATTGCCCGGCCCTGCTTCCAGTGACACGAAATTTCAGCTTACCTGGGTATCTGTCTGGGTCTCACTTAGATCTCCATCCTGGGAGCCCTACGAATAGAGGAGATTTTCCCCCCCCCTGGGGAGCAGAGACATCTCTGCAGGAAGTTCACTGTAGACACCTTTCGGGTTACTTCTTTGTTGACCTTTTTTTTTTTTTTAATCTGCTTTACTTTATTCTTCAGGCGAGAAACCTAAAGCCCCTCTCTTTTGTGTGCTACTGGGGGGCATGACATGATTCCCCACCCTTCTGCCCTTCAGCCTAGCCTCTGGGTCTGAAGCGGGCCTGAGCTTGGCTGTCAGTGTCACCAAGACTTGCCTAAAACACTTCACAGCCAATGTGACCCCAGGGAGAGTTGAGCAGGCAATTTTAGATAATTAAGATTTTGTTTGTAGACCTAAGGAGCTAGTAAGGATGGATAAATCATATTTCAAATAAGGTTTAGAAGTCCTTGCCTGACCAAAACCTGCTTGGAAGTGGGGATCCTAGACCATTATTGAAAATCACTGATTTTTTTTTAAAGTAGAATTAAATTTTACCAAAAGCATCAAGTTGAAAGGATAAAAATACACCCCCCCCCTTGCTATCTTCAGGTTTCTGTCTCCTTCCCAGCTAAAGGAGGCCAAAGTTGTGCCGAAATTCCTCCTCCAACCCACAAGACACTTTTCACAGCTCAAGTGCTTCCTTTAAAGTCAAAAGTACAGAATGCCAACGGTTCTGTGACATGAAACGGCGGTTTAGTGCTGTGATCGTGCAGTTTTTGAGGCTGGCCTAAGGAATGGTGGGGGGGTGGAGGGAACGTGGCTGATAACTCAGTGAAGGGATGGATTATCAGGCCTGGGAGTCCGCTATAACCTGCAGAATTCGTTCTGAGAACTTCATGAAGTACGGTTGCACTCCAGGCAGCTATGCCTCAATAGAGAGAGATGTCACTGGCCACCTATTTCCTTGATAAGTTAATATTTTCAAATCAAGGATGGTGGAAAAGTCTGCCTTTGGTGGTAATAACCCACACTTCACTAGAATCCGGCCCCTAGTTGTTTAGACATAAATGCATCCAGGAAAAGATACAGATAAGAATTTCTCTTTACAGAGAGCAATCTACAGCCACACAGAAAACAAAATTTAAAGCAGTCAGCAGACAAAGCAGAAATGCAGTGCCTTCATTTACTTGTTTTGAATCTTGAGCTATCAAATTAGAAAGCAACATTGAGCACTTTTAATATTTGAAAGAAATAATTTTTCCCTACTCTGAAAACTCCAGTCAGTCACAGTAGGAAAGTTTAACACTTTAGATGTTTTACAGTAGGAAAGTTTAACACTTTAAATGTTTTACAATAAATAGTAAACCAAACCCAAGCTTTGGAGCCATTGATTTTTGTATTTTATTTATTTTTTTTTAAATTCTTTTCTATGTAGGCGAATGTTCCCTCCGTTTAAAGTGAGATGTTCTGGGCTGGATAAAAAGGCCAAGTATATTTTATTGATGGACATTATAGCTGCTGACGACTGTCGATATAAATTTCATAATTCTCGGTGGATGGTGGCCGGTAAGGCAGACCCTGAGATGCCCAAAAGGATGTACATCCACCCGGACAGCCCGGCCACGGGGGAGCAGTGGATGTCCAAAGTGGTCACTTTCCACAAACTGAAACTCACCAACAACATTTCCGACAAACACGGATTTGTAAGTTCCACGACTACCTTCTGAAACATTTTCCTACCCCCCCCAAGGCAATTCCTTGTAAACTATGAGTTTGGATTTAGCCTTCTCCCTTGCTCGCTCGATTTGCAACAGAGCTGGAGGGATGATTCCAGGGTGTTTCTCTGGATCATGGAAGGCCCAGCTTTCTAAAAGAAACAAGAAAACTTACCGGCTCTTGTTCTGTAGCAATTCCAGGTCCTTGCAAGTTGCTGGATCTGGAAGTGAAGTTAAAAAAAATCAAGAACTCAAGAGTCAAAATCAATCCCAAAGTGATGTATTTTATAAGGATTTGTTTTGCTTTAAAACATTCTACTTCTATTTTGAAATCAGCCATGTTATTTCTTGGAAGTTTCCAAGCTTTGACTGTATTGGTTGGAAGGGTGTGAATACATTTTCTTTTTTAATTTGATTTTCTTTTTACTAAAAGAGAACTGGGTTTAGGATGAAAGTCAGGCTTATGAGAAGTGAGGCTTAGATGTTCAGTATAAAAATGGTGTGTGTTGGAAGTATATACATGGAGTCAGTGAGAGAGACTGTGTGTGCTTAGGAACTTTCAGAAGATTCGGCTTGCTTGTAAAAGTCAGACTAGGAACCTTTTACCCCTTCCTCAGCCCCTCCTCAACATTTCAATAAAATAAACAAAGTGATAAGTGAGGAATAAGCTGAAAGATTAGGCCCAGGAAGACGTGAATGGCGCGGAAATATCTTCACCGGGCAGGAATTGCATTTTAAGTCCTTGATTTGATTAGAGCACAAATATTCCTCTGTAGAGTTCAGCCTTCCCGGGCTTTAAGTGGATTGGGCTCGTCAATTAGTGGGCGCTTAAAGTACTGAATCATTTTGTAAATTAAAATGCATGTTTTTCTCTGTCTTTTAAGACTTTGGCCTTCCCATGTGATCACGCAACGTGGCAGGGGAATTATAGTTTTGGGACTCAGGTAGGCTAGGGTTCAAGGTACGAATGAACTGTGTAGATGACAAGGGAGTGGGAGGGGGACCCTGTGGAAATTGAGGAGCCATTTGGAATTTTCAGAGGATAACATCTGTGTAGTGAAATGTACCCAAGGAGGTACTCCGAGGAGGTGGGCTCGGTCCAAAAGTTGGTACCCTGCGGTGGGGAAGATGTCAGCCTGGCAGGGGACCTAACATCCTGTTGGCTTGTTAAATCCTTTTTTAAAAATGTGTATCTGCTCTTCCCTGCCTCTGCAGACTATACTGAACTCCATGCATAAATATCAGCCTCGGTTCCACATCGTACGAGCTAATGATATCTTGAAACTGCCTTACAGTACATTTAGGACGTACTTGTTCCCTGAAACCGAATTCATTGCTGTGACTGCATACCAGAATGATAAGGTAACCAGAGGGGCTTTTCTTTTTTAATGGTGATATTTCCCCTTGTCCTTTTAAACTGCTTTGAATCCAACTGAGAAAGTTAAAAGGAATTAGGATGAGAGCCTTGAATTTTCTTTTGGGATTTGGTCTTCAATGGGGGGGGGAGCACTTGAGGGAAGAAGGGTTGACCAGCCCCTCTGAGAGGGCAGAAATAAAACTCTCAGCCAGCTAAGAATCCAAAGCAGAATTTTAAAATGTTAAGTTCACTTTGCCAGCAAGAAATTCCATGAACACTGTCATTGGTACCATCCCCACCCGGCCTCCAGATCTTGGGGCTTCTTCTCCTTGGTTTCCGTGTTCATCCCCTCCTCCACCCCTTTCAAAAGCAGGATGGAAAAGAACCAGCTGAAAATGAAAGGCCAAAAAGCCATTTTGAATCTTGGTTGGGGAATCCTGGTGGAGACCAGCTTTGCTTCCCTAGCCAAAAAACCTCGAATAGCTGCTCTGGTTTTTATTACTTTTTATGCTGTTATGTTTTTTATGGTGTGTGTGCAATGTGTAAGAAGAGAGAGTTTGGGGAAAAAAACCTGCCCTGATCACAGGGACGTGGTTAATCAAGGTGTCTTTGAGGTAGTCAAAGTCACAACTTTTCTCTCTTGGGCCTGAACTAGGGATTGGATAGGAAGCAGTACCTAGATTCTGCAGTTCCTGTGGCCTGAAGGTCATGGAGCAGAGAGGCACAAAGAAAGTGGCCTTTGCTGGTTTCCAGCATGGCAGTCGGGTGGAGTGGGGGAGGGGGCAGAGGATCCCTGCTCTTCACCTTGATCCTGGATTCAGAGAGAGCCCAGGTCACCTGGCAACAGCCTGCATTCGGAACGCACTGTCCCTGGGTCCCTGGATGTATGAGTGTTCCAGATAATTTTCCTTAGTCTGGGGGCTAAACATCACCATCTCAGCCTTCTCTTCCCAACGTAGTCACCGTGCAAAGCTGGAAGCGTTGAGCCCAGCCACTGATTTCCACACACTTCCCCTACACCCAGAATCCCATGAAAGTTACATTCACCGAGTTGTTCATAATAATAAAATGCAGCATTATTTTTTATCAGACAAAGAAGTTATGGGCCTTCTCTACCTAATGATAGTGGCAGAGCATATAAATGAAAACAAATGTCACCAGTGGTCATTCTGTCTCTTAAATCTGTAATTGTCAATATTGTAATTCCCCAAACTACCACTCCCAAGCAAAAAAAAAAAAAAATCTCGGCTCACTCCAGCACAAAAGGAGTGAAAGCCCATAAATGATTTTATTAGATTCATAGAATCTACATTGGGATATATGGTGTGTGCGTGTGTGTGCCTTAAAATATTCTACGATCGATTGCACTGTATTAAAAAAATCAAAATGAACACATAACTTCCAGATGCATAGGTTATCCCCTTTGACAGCTTTCAGGACATTTCCAAAATGTCAGCTATCCAAAGGAAAGAGTTTCTTTGGTAATTTCAGTCTGGAGCCTTTGGTTTGGCTTCCTGTGAGCTACACCCTGCCTTGATACAGTTTCCCCATGGGGTTTTAGCTCCTTTCAATCTCCTGTCATTAACTACACCTCCCAGTCTCCTAACCTAGATGGCTTCTGTTGACAGTCACACTTCTAGCAGACTGTCCAGTTAGGGAAAACAGCCTAGAACCTTCTAGAAAGTGAAGCCGGTGTGTCTGTCTTGCTTGTGTCTCCTCTAGATAACTCAGTTAAAAATAGACAATAATCCTTTTGCAAAAGGTTTTCGGGACACTGGAAATGGCAGAAGAGAAAAAAGGTAAGTGGGGGTGTGTATTTATTTTTTGGAGAATTTGGGAAAATCGACTTTCTAGGATTTAACTTTCAAGTGTCAGAAGTGGGATAGGAGACACTTTTTGCTGAGAAAGAGTGGGGAGAAAGTAATTTATTTCCCCCTTGTTAAACTCTTACCCCATAGACATAGTTTTTCTATCTACTCCTTGTTACCTTTAAGGAAACTAACTAGGTTACAAACCATAATTGTTTCTGGAAGAAAAGATGATCATAAGGGTACCTATGACTATCTAGTTAGTTTAAGTTCATCCTGGGCAGGTCCAGCGAAGGACCAAGCCATTCACAAATTGCTCTGGAATTTTTGCAATCCTGACTTTTCAAATGCTATCAGACACAGCCAGGGCCCCTTGGAAATCTATGTCTCCCCCCTTCCTTCATGGGTACATGGGTCACTTTGCAGTAAGTAGACAGCTGGAGACTACATGAAAGAAGTCCCCTCCTCTACTCCTTTTCAAAGACTTTTCTACAACCCAGAAAATCGCCCCAAATTTTCAACCTATCCCCTGGGGGCTGAGCACTAGAAAATAATTTCTAACATCTAAATAAATTTTAACTCCAATTAATATGTTGGTGAACTGATTACAGTAGAGTACGCCATGAAATAACCACTTCCTCCCCATCTTAGCAACCATCCAGGAGTTTGGTAAGCTGGGGACAGACAGCATTGTGTTCTCTGGGTTAGACACTCAGTCCCCTCCCTCTGTAAGGCCAGCAGGTTAACAATCCCTGGCCAACTCCAGCCTCTCTCTTCATGTTTTTAAACAAGATTTCACAGCCCAAGCAAATGCTTTTCCCAATGCTACTCTGATCTTGAATAAATACAACTGGAGCCTTTTTCCTCTCTCCCCAAACCCCCTCCTCATGCCACACTCTTCAGTCCAGCTAGAGAGGGTCAAGAACAATACTGAGGTCTGTGTGGCTGCCCTGAGGCCAGCAGATTTCAGGGAGTGAGTTGTGAGTTGTCCCGTGGGCGGCAGGCAGGGTGAGGTGTATTGGAGCTGCTCTGCAAAGGGTGAACAAAACAAAGGAGGGGAAATGTAGGTTTCCTTGGGTGACACTGGGTGTGGGCTTCTGTGCAGAAAACAACTCACCCTGCAGTCCATGCGGGTATATGATGAGAGACACAAGAAGGAGAATGGGACCTCAGACGAGTCCTCAAGTGAACAGGCGGCCTTCAAGTGCTTTGCTCAGGCCTCCTCCCCAGCAGTTTCCACTGTAGGAACATCAAACCTCAAAGGTAAGCCCGGCCACCCCTGTGACAACTGGACTCCTGGTCCTCCTGGCCTGGAAATGGTGATGGTGGTGGTGGTGGTGGTGGTGGTGACAGTGATGCTGGTGGTGGTGGTGATGGTGGTGGTGGTGCTGGCCAAGAGATTGGTTCTTCAGAAGCTGCAGATGCTTCTAGAATCTGGAAACAGGAGTCAAAGTTCAAAATGGGGTGTCAGTTGTGTGCCTCCTCCCTCAGGGTGGTACAAGGAGAACTCAGAACCCCTTCCCCCAAATCCTGTGTGTGTGTGTGTGTGTGTGTGTGTGTGTGTGTGTGTGTTACCCCTGGCAAGAGCAGGTTCAGAAGGTACCTGAAGTTCTTTGTCTCGCCTCGCTTCTCTCTGCCACCTGGAGCAGGGAAGGTGGAGAAATCTCAGCTTCAGAGCCAACCTGGGAAAGAAGGAGGACCAGGAGGGGCTGCTTTGGGGGTGGGGTGGGGATGCACAAGGTGCTTCCAGTTCTCAATCCCATTTCCTGTGTTTAAAGAACAAACGCTATTTGCAAAGACACTCTCTCAATGGGAAGAAACCTGTTTTTTAAGTGAAATAAAATAAAAGCCCTTTTATGGCTTCAATCCACTTAAGCTTTAAACATAAAAATAAGATCATTTTTTATTTTTTCTTTGGTAGGACACCCACAGAGGATGTGGGGAAAGCAAAAAAGTGAGCTAAGTGCCCACCACCCATTTCTGTCCCACAGGGATAGACACACGAGAAGGCCCTAGGGTGTGTGTTGGGGGAGGGGCGCCTGTTTCTGCCATTACCAATTCAGATGTCACCGTTTTTTCCCAAACAGATTTTCTTCCAAAATAGTCCACAAATTTGTGGAAAGTGCTGATCGATCACTCTGAACAAAAGACTGGTGGTACTGGAATGTGTTTTTAAGTAGTGAGTTTTAAAGTAACTCAATTTTCATTTTAAAAAAAAGTTCATTTGCAAGAGAAATGCACAGAAAGGAGAGCCATCCACACTTTTTTAAATTTAAAGTTAAGTCATTTTAATAAGAAGAGATACCTTAAGGCAGGTCTGTGTAAGGAGAGTTAAGCTCCATTTTAATACTCTGATTTCATGGTTTGCCGATTGAATCTAACAGCAAAGGTGTTAGGAAGTGTAATTGTCCCCATTTTGCAGATGAGACAAATGAGGGGTCAGGGTCTTTGTGGGTGAGGGGAGCCGGGGGCGGGGATGTCACAACAGCTATGCTAGGATTCAGCCGTGGGACCCTTAAAGTTAAACGCGTTTTTTCTGCTAGATCTGTGTCCCAGCGAGGCCGAGAGCGACGCCGAGGCCGAGAGCAAGGAGGAGCACGGCCCCGAGGCCTGCGACGCGGCCAAGATCTCCACCACCACGTCGGAGGAGCCGGGCCGGGACAAGGGCAGCCCCGCGGTCAAGGCGCACCTCTTCGCGGCCGAGCCTGGCGGCCGGGCCCGGGACAGCGGGCGTCTGGACAAGGCATCGCCTGACTCGCGCCACAGCCCGGCCACCATCTCGTCCAGCACGCGTGGCCTGGGGGCCGAGGAGCGCCGGAGTCCGGGCCGCGAGGGCGCCTCGGCCACGGCAGCGGCCAAGGTCGAGGAGGCGCGCGCGCTGCCGGCCAAGGAAGCCTTCGCGCCGCTCACCGTGCAGACAGACGCGGCCACCGCGCACCTGGCGCAGGCTCCCCTGCCTGGCCTCGGCTTCGCCCCGGGCCTGGCCGGCCAGCAGTTCTTCAATGGGCACCCACTCTTCCTGCACCCCGGCCAGTTCGCCATGGGGGGTGCCTTTTCCAGCATGGCGGCGGGCATGGGGCCCCTGCTGGCCACTGTGTCGGGGGCCTCCACTGGTGTCTCTGGCTTGGATTCCACCGCCATGGCCTCTGCCGCTGCGGCGCAGGGACTGTCCGGAGCTTCGGCGGCCACACTGCCCTTCCATCTACAGCAGCATGTCCTGGCCTCCCAGGTACTTGTCCTTCTGTCCTTCCTGTCCGCCATCCTCCTCCCTGCCACCAGATCCTCCCCCATTCGTTCTAGTTTCCGACCTTCTGATTCCAGACCCTCACCCAGTCCCCTTGGCTAGTAGCTTTGAATAATGATTATTTATTGACCCATTACTGGGTCATCTCATGACTTCCCTCCTCCAAAAAATGTTCCTAAGGACTGTTTCAACCGGAATGGCTCTGCAGGGTTAATGACAGCAACTGGCCACAGTCCTCGCTATGCACCAGGCTCTTTCTTCTAGGTCCTCCTTCTATTCTGACTCATTTGCTCTCACCCTTCTGTGACTTTTTATTCCTCCAGTCTTTTTAAACAGAGGGGAAGAGGCCCAGAGACATGGAGTAACTTGTCCAAGGGCACACAGCTGGCTCTTGGTGGAGCTGAGGCTCTATCCCATGCTGTCTGCCTCCAGGGCCTCTTTCAGGGCCTTTGGATTTTAGCTTCTGAGCTGAAATATGTCTCCCAAGTGTCTCTTAGCCAGCGTTCCCTCCCCCTTCCCACCCCCCAATTGGAGGCTGAGGACTGGGGAGGGGAGATTACAGTCACAGCCCTTCCTTCCAGTTCTAAGTTCCCCACCCCCAGACCAGCCTATCCTGCAAAGGGTTAATCGTCAGTGCACACGTGGGAAATGTCAGAGGAGAGGGACTGGTAGTGGCTGTGGCAGGCCTGTGTGTGTGGCTGAGACAGCTGTGCTGGGCACAGGGCAGCGGGGGAAGAAGGCTCTGAAGGCTCTGAACCGGGTGAAAAGGTTCTCTGGGGTTTTCAGCCTGCCCCTCTTGCCTTTTGTTTTGTCTGAGCCCATTAGTCTCCCTACCCTGAGCCAAGAGGCAGATGGGCCTCCTCTTCTGGGGAGGGAGGAAGGAGCCAAGAAAAAAGGCTGGCTTCTGGCCTATCTCAATCCTCCTCAGTGCGCCCCCCCCCCAGTCTTCTTTTGCTGGTTTCTTCTGGAGACCCTGCCACAGGTGGGCAGGTGGTATAGGTGGGTGAGGGGCTGCCTGGGCTGGCAATCACTGTGACATCTCATGGCTTTGGCTTGGGACAAGACCCAGCAGCCATCCCTGCATTTTAAATTCTGTTTCTGCCACTCAGTAGCTGGGTGAATTCCTGGGCTCCTGGGGCCTTCCCCAGTTTCTCACCTGTGCTTTGACTCTGTTGATAACAAATGCCCTTTTGCTCCACATCTTCCCTGCCCTCTCCCAACTCCCCCCACCACCGCCCAGTTTGAGAAAGTACTAGGATTGGAGTGGAAGTTTGGGGGGGGGGGGAGGTGGGCAGGGGACAAGAATGACCAGAAAAAAAAGAAAAAAGAAAAAAATCTGTCTGGTAATGTATGCCCTAGGGTTTTCCAGCCACCTTGGCAAGGTAGACTCAATCTGGAGACCCATTTAACAGGTGCAGCCGCTAACCCATATGGGAAATGTCAGGCAGTCCTGCATATTACAGTATTACAGGCATCCATTCCTATTGCAGTCAGTATATGGATTACTTGTGGTTTCCCTGGTTTATCATATAAGGAAGCTGTGGCCCAGGGTGACACAGCTGAGTTGAACCCAGAGCTGTATTGTCACGCGCCCCCCCCCCAAAAAAAAAAAAAGAAAGGGATCAGTAGTTTGACCAAGGTGGGAGGAAGGGGACAGTGGAGAGTGGTTCCTCCCAGTTGCAGTCCCTGCTCATCGTCTGACTCCTTGTGTGCGTTTCTCTTCCTTCCCCAGGGCCTGGCCATGTCGCCTTTCGGAAGCCTGTTTCCTTACCCCTACACGTACATGGCTGCGGCAGCCGCCGCCTCCTCCGCGGCGGCCTCCAGCTCGGTGCACCGTCACCCGTTCCTCAACCTGAACACCATGCGCCCGCGGCTGCGCTACAGCCCCTACTCCATCCCCGTGCCGGTGCCCGACAGCAGCAGCCTGCTGAGCTCCGCGCTGCCATCCATGATCCCCGCCGCCGGACCCCTGGATGGCAAAGCCGCCGCGCTGGCAGCCAGCCCGGCCTCGGTGGCCGTGGACTCGGGCTCAGAACTAAACAGCCGCTCCTCCACGCTCTCCTCCAGCTCCGTGTCTTTGTCGCCTAAACTCTGCTCGGAAAAGGAGGCGGCCACCAGCGAACTGCAAAGTATCCAGCGATTGGTCAGTGGCTTGGAAGCCAAGCCGGACAGGTCCCGCAGCGCATCTCCTTAAGTCCCCCATGCACACCACCACCATCACCACATCCCCCCAAAAAAGTCTCTTCATTCCAGTTCAGTCAAGTCTGCACTTTGTTGGATGTAAAATACACCACGGGCCTGCCGTGAGGTGACCCCTTCCTTTGCAGTGGCGCGTCTGGGAAAGAGCGCTGGACTCCCTCCAGGGAATGATCTAGGAATGGGCCCTGTCTTCTTGGCTTGGTTTATAGATTATAGATCCGGTATCTGGCTCAGATTCTGGGGCTCAGAAAAAAGCTATTGCATGGAGCGATTGGGGTAGACGGAAAACTTAAAGCAGCTTCCACTGCTTCCTATCTGGAAGCTGAGGTTGAACCAGAAGGTAGCCAGGCCCACCAGGGGAGTGGGGGGAGGTGTTGAAAGGCATCTCTCTCCGTGTGGATTTCTATATGTGTTTTTTTCCTTCACCGTGTCAAGTGGAAACAAAATTTTTTTTAAAGGGGGGGGAGATGACAAATGAATTGCCATGATTCTGTTTGTGAAGATGGGAAAACTTTATAGTGAGTTGCATATCAGTTCTCAATAAATTACTGAGCTCATTGTTTGGGGAGGTAGTCCTTACTGTTCTTGTTTAGTCTATATTAAGGAAACCTGTGTCTTTTTAATATTCTTGTGATGTTTTAAGAACCGATATAGGTCTATTCTTGCATGTTCCACGGTCATGTATTTGTGGTTTTTGTTTTGGAAGCTTGCTTTTAGAAAAAACAACATAAATCCCATCCCCATTCCCCAATTCTGTGTCCTCAAATCCAAAACCCCAAGGAAGTGAGGGAGTAGCTAAAAAGGAAAGGGTGTTGGGGGTGGGAACAGAAAGTGAATTTATTTTAGCTGAACTCTAGCAGAATTCATGTCTCTCTCTGGCAGTTTCTTCTCTTTTCCTGTATATGCAATAACAAGGTTTTAAAAAAAATAATGAAGAAGCGAGACTATTAGACAAAGTATTTATGTAATTATTTGATAACTCTTGTAAATAGATGGAATATGAATGCTTGGAAGATTAAACTTTAATTTATTGACATTGTACATAGCTCTATGTAAATAGGATTGCAACTGTCAGGTTTTACTCTCAGTTTCCTTTAGCTGGTTTTATTTCTAGGTCACACTAGAAAACATACTTTCTGCACCAACACCTACAGACTTTCAAAAGTGTTGTCTGCAAATTATTTTTCTTTTTTTTTAATGTCCAATAGTGTGTGGGGGGGGGTGGGGAGTGCTATTTCCTATTTTAGCCAAAATTGGGGAGGAGTGGGCCCTTCCCCAATTCACTTAGAATTACTGAAAATCTTAACTCCCTCAGAGTGGGCCTGAGATTGCTGTGGGAGGGGGGCAGTGAGAGACTGTGGTCTGATTTCCTAATTTTTGTTTCATGTGTGTATTTACTAGTCTCTGATCTCCTTCAAACGAAGTGGAATTTACTACTGTTGTTAATCTTGATGGCGTTTTGAGTTGGTGCTTGGCAAGAGAGATTTCACAGTTCAAAAGTCAGGTGCTGAGAGATGGGCGTAAGACAGAAATCCATGAAGGGATATTTGTGTTATAGTACATAATGAGTTTTTTGGTTTTCTGTATTTTTCCCCTCTTTAAAACATCACTGAAATTTCAATAAATTTTTATTGAAATGTCTTTGGGCCTTGTGTTAAATACTTTTCTTGAACTTTTCCTGGAGAAAGCAAAGGAGTGTCTTCTTTCACCTAACACCCTTTCCTTCGCCTTTAAATAATTAAGACCGCCCCCAACGAACCCAAATGAGATGTCACTCAAGTTACAAAGCTAAAAACAAAAGTCCCTTACTCCAGCCAAGGAAGCTGCTTCAATCGGAAAATACTTTTCCTTTAAATTAGGGAGCAAAGCAGGAGACGAAAGGGGCCTGATTAAAATTCAGAAGGAACGGTAATTTCAGATACTTAAAAGTTTTAAAAGTAAAAGACTTTATCTGTTCCCTAAGTCTGTTCCCCCACTGGAATCCGGACCAAAAATAAGTTGGAGCACCAGGCCGGTTTTCCTTTTAAGCACGATCTGTTTTGGGGAATTCAAGTGAAAAATACTTCCCCACACCAGTGTGCCTGGCACGGAAAGAGGCTAGCAGAATTCCCACCGGCCAGAGCCAGCTAGGCCTGACAGTGACCCTCCCGGTGTCAGGAGAAAGGGTCAGGGTGGGTGGCTTCCCACCTTTCCATTGGTGCTGCCGGGCAGTGCCTGATGTCTCGGATTGGACCAGGCTAGCCCAAGGCATCCCTATGAGGCCCCCTCCATCCTCAGTTGTGCGTGCAAAGTGTGGCCAGCTACGGGTACACTTGGCCGTGTCACTCGAGGGATGAGAGAATTTTTCCTTGCAAAGGAAAGGTAATTCCAGGACCCGCATTTAACCTCCTACAAGTCACCCCGGAGGCTGACATCCTCTAGTTCTCTCCATCCAGTTTCAGGGCAGTTTGGGATGTAGTGTTTTGAAGTTCAATTTATCTTTGGATGTTCAAAAAAAATTGTGGGACTGGGTTAGTCTTTTGGTCTCCCCACCCCCTGCCTGGCCTCTGAGGTGTGTATATGTCTGGAGGGGTGAGGGGTGGGGGAGCACTGAAAGATTCTTTAAAGTTAGCCCTTAGGCCTTTTCTGGTCTTGGGGGACCTGATGTGAAGACCCAAGCCGGAGCCTGCCTGGCGGCTGACTTCCCCCACCTCCTCCCTCCACCCGGAGCCCGCCAGCCGGGCCCCAAGTCCCTGTCACCTTCAGGCCTCTTGTATGGCCCGCTCGGAGGAGCCCCTTCCCCTCCCTCCTCCGGTACTTGGAGGAAGATCAGATCGAGACCTTTTGGAAAGGGGGCAAAGTCCCTTCCATCTGCAGGCAGGCACGTGGGGACCCCCACAGTCTCTCTAAAACTGTGACAACCAGAGTGGCGGGGGAGGGCTTGGAGGCCTGGGGACCGTTGGGGCCGTAGATCTTCCGAGGGCCGCGAGATTTCCAGGGCTTGCACCCTAGACGCAGCGGCTGCGGCCCAACCCGGCCAGTTTTCGGCCCAACGAAAAGGCGCAGTGCCGGAGCCCCTGAGAAGGTGGAGGGGGCCTGTTGCGCCCAGCTGCGCGCTCCCAAACTGGGGAGAAAATAACTTGGTTTCAAAGAAAAGAGGGGAAAATGTTTTTCTTTCTCAAATCAGATTTGTTTACCTCCTCCCTACCCTCATCCCCCAAATTTGGGGACAGTGCACAAGCCAGTGTCCAACCACTCCTGCAGGCTTTCCTTCCTTTCTTCCTTCCTCCTTCTTTTTTTTTTTTTTAATCTCCTGTGTATCTTATTTGTATATAGGGATGTTAATGAGTAACTCTGGTGGCGCTGATGGACGGGGGGTGAACGGCTTGCAATCTCTCTGGATTTCGTTCACGATTACTCACCTGGCGCCGGTCGCAATCTCGCCGCGGGCTTTATGGTGGCGGCGGCGGCCGCCGAGGCCACTCGGGGCCGGCGCCTTCGCTTTTTTTTTTTTTTTTTTTTCCAGGCTTCGAGTGCCACCTATCTGTCTGGCCCACGAATGCGCCCTGGTAGCTGCGGCTTGCTCGGCACCCCTGAGCCTCCCGAGTTCCGGAACGGAGAGCTTCACCTCTGCCCCCCACTCATCCGACACCCCCAGCCCGCGGTCCCCTACCCCCTCCCATCCCTGGCGTCGGAAGAAGCGGCCGTCGTCTCTTTCCTGGATATCACTTTCATTCCTGTTTGGGCCTCAGATGAGAAAAACAGCCCTCCCTTTGGATTTGCAAAGAATGTTTAGAAATTCGGCAAGGGGACCATCGCTCTTAATTCTCTCGCCAAAGACTTTGTGGCTTGGGGGAGAAATGTGTAGACCCCGCCCCAGGGTACAACCTGTATTCAGGATGGGCTGATAGAAAAAGGGTACCCTCGGCCCCCAACAGACACACCGCGAACTCTACCCTGGGTACAACTTCGCCATGCCTTGGAAGCTCCTTTCTTACTTTATGCTCTGCGAGTTTTCCTTTTTTTAGCCTGACCAGTGTCTACAGGGACAAAGGCCAGGGCTCCAGGGAGCTGCAGTCCGTATGGCCCCCGGCGTGGTCACTTACTGCAGCCAGCAGGGCTTGAGCTCCCTAGTGATTTGTAGATTTAAGGTGACACATGCGGGTGCCGGCCAGAGCCCTCCGGCCCCACCCGCCCGTCGGGAAGGTCGGCTCCAAGCCTGGCTGAGCCCTGGCGTCTGAGACCCGCGGAGGCGGTGGGGTGGGGGTCACCTTTTGCTGTGCTTTGAGCCGCTGGTTGAGGCGTCCGGGTTCCTGCTGACCTCCTGGCGCTAATTGCAGGGGCCGAAGGGCGCGTTCGGGCAGAGGCAAAGGTCACGACCCTGTGCTCCCTGTCCGGGTCCCCGCAGCCCCGAAGGAGCGAGGGATGTGTGCAAGTGGGGCCACTGTGCATGCGTGCATAGGCTTTCTGGATCTTCACTGTCCTGGGACCCACCTTTCTTTTTTTTGTGGGTGTGGGGACAATTCCCGAACTAAAGGAGGCCCTTTAAAAAATTCCATCCAAGAAGGATGAACTTTTCCCTAAGTCAGCAGACACGCAGCCGCCTTCGGACGCTACAAGACGCGTGCAACGCTTCGCGTCCGCCCAAGTTCTGCCTCGCTGGTTTCCAAATCTGGCCTCCCGGGGTTCAGCCACGACAATGGCTGTGAGCCTGAGGGGCGACTGCGGCTCTTATGGACGTAGCCACATACGTTCGTACCTTTGGGTAGCTCTTTGGGTACTCTTTGGGTGTTTATGCTGCAGGTGTTAGAAGGCCGTGTGTGTGTTTGCGTGTACTTGTGCGTGCTGCGTCTATAGACGTCTCTTCCAATTTGCATTTAGGAGTTCCTGCGCAAGACAGTTCCGGATGTGAATGCATTTGGTTGTTTTATAATCAAGATGCGTATAATCAAGAAATATATGTTGCAGATGTTGTGTTCAAAGTCCACATAACGATAATAAAAATAGCTGGCACACAAGGGCACGCGCTTCTGCCGTGATATACTCCGCAAAAGTGACCTCCTGTAGCCCTCACAGTTAACCCTATAAGGTGTGTTCCATTTACAAAGGGAAGAAACTGAGGCACAGAACAGTTAAGTCATTTTCCTCAGATCACTGAGGGAGGAGGGGGGAAATTATGGAACCAGAACTCCAGCCAAGAGAGTTCTAGAATGCACTCTAGCCGTCTTTTGTAATTCAGGTGGAAGTGTACATCCCTGTGTACCTATATCCCGGCTGCAGAGAAACCTATGGGTGTGTTCTGGATATTTTGGAGTGTGTCTTTTGAATTTTTCATACAGTAATATTTAAATTTCTTCAGGAATC